GTACCCCAAAAAGGCTAAAGGTTACCAACTCTACCAGTAAGTCCAAAATATGCCCAAAATGCTCAACCTCAAATCCCACATGGGCACCAAGGCGCCACGCACAGGTCGAGGATGTGCTTGCTTTCCTTTGCCGGTCGTGATTTCTCACCATACGGGTGCCAAGCATTCAAGCGTCTTTGTCTTTGAGCATCTTTGAGCTAACTACAGTTGTCAGCGACGGCCGTCAGGCAGCCGGATGAAAGGCTAGTGAGGGAAAACAGTCGCAGAAATCGAAGACCGAACACCACCAGACATCGGAGCTGTAAAAATATGTCAACCACGGAAACATGTAGGGATGCAGCCATGCACCCGGCCATTCTACAAAAGTCCTGCTCGAAAAGGGCCTCACACGAACTCGGGTGCAGTACACCTGAACTCAAAAAGCCATCTGCTGGCGAGCGTCCCGTTCTCGCACCTGCAGTGGTTCATGCTCCAGGAGCTCTAGAAGAGAATTTGACAGGGATTGGGCACCCCAAACCGTAGGACAGCTTCATCAAATTGGATCCTATCTCGGGATGAAGACACCAAGCCCTCCACTCCCAAGTGTATGGAGGCCTTCATGAATGGATGTGTGGGGGAGGGGGGGGGGGGGGGGNNGGGGGGGGGGGGGGGGGGGGTATGGTATAGTATAACTATGGGGATATGGGTGCTGGGTCTCCTGTGCCCTACATTTCATGCTCCGAGTTCGGGTTTGGAGTTTCCAGATCCTGAAAGCCTGGAGAGAGACAACCTGGGTGATCCCCATGAGAGGGCGGTGGAATTTGGCCGGCTGAAGTCGGAAAAGTTCGGGGCCCTGCACAAAAAGGAACATTCAGAGACTTTACCTTCCCAGTTCCTCAGCCCGAACCAAGATCACTTCATATAGGGCTTTGGTAAGGGGGTTTCGATGGCTCATTGTGGGCTTGAAGCATGACTACTGTAAGGGCCTTTGTAATTAGAATAGGGTTTGGGGGTATAACATACTACAGTTATAATAAGTAACACCCAAAAGACTGTAGGTAATTATTTGGGCCTCTGTAGTACCAAATAGTACATACTTTGGCCCCAATGTACCTATATAAGGACTACTTTAAGGCCAAAGTGCATACTATTTGGGTACATGGACCCTTAGGGAATGACC